ATGTAGAATATATATATATATATATATATATATATATATATATATATAAATATATCCCCATAAATAGTTTGCTGGTAAAGACTTGCTCGTTTTACGTGACATCGATTCGCTGTATATTTGCGGATTGTACAGCGGGACGATATTGTATAAAACAAGCACATTGTTTGCAAGCAAATGTTATATATACCTATATTGTAACAATTGATTAAAAACCAGGGTATGTCTTAATATGTGTATGTGTAATACGTTGATTCATATACGACACATCCCGCGATCATTAGATCGTCGGGACGGCGAACGAAATAATTACCGTGTATTATAATAACAACGTCCGGCGGGGCGTGACATTATATTGTAAATAAACGACAGCGTTATTTCGCTGATGCATTTCGAGCATGTGCTAATGTATTATTGAGGATCATAGAAAAGGAAGTGCGAAAAAGGAAAGCGGCATCGCGTATAAAGCGTCGATGGTGTTTTGATTTTGAACAAAAGGAGAAAGAAGTGAAAAACGGCAATTTGGTATTAGACCGCGCCGCGCCATAGATTTTTTAATTATTATCGTTCCTGCCTGTTCACAATCTGTGACTGCAATATCTCGTAAACACGTCGGACCAATGTCGTTGTGAGCACTAGCTGTAAACTGTAACAGCCTTCATCGTTGAGTATCCCCATTATCACTTAGCGAAAAGAAAAAAGGGGAAAAAATCGAAGAAAGACATCGTCGCGCGCTTCGATATAAAGTTCTGTTCTTTCTGAGAAGCTTCTTACACAATTGATCTTCTCTTTTTTTCCAATATGAAAAAAAAAAAAGAGGAAAGATGAACCATGCAAGAAGAGCTAAAAAGAGCAGGCCTAAAAAAATGTGTTTGATCTTTTCCTGTCAAGTTGCAAAATTCACTAAGAATTTTTGTTCATACAATTATTATTCATATCTCACGCAGCACACTTTATTCGAGAAATGTCCTGGAAACTTTCTTATGACGGTCAAAGAACATAAGAACATCTTTAACACAACCTTTGGAGATATATGCTATATATGGGCATTTATGTAAGTTAAATGTCTCTTGTTTTTAATCACATAATGTTAGTTGTAATATACATGTTCTACGTGATATATGCAATATATATATACGTGTTTAGAGAAAGCAGATTTATGAAAATTTCTACCAATGTAGATTAATTTTAATCTCAGTTTAACTTTTTATCTTCTTGTAGTTCTAAGAATTAGAAAAAAATAAAAAGTAAATTAAATCGAGATCAAAGTTAATTTATATTGATAGAAATAGGTCATATCCAAAATTATAATAATTGATCTTGACGCGAATAACGGCTGATGTCTTTTTTAATAACGTGCCCATTATTATAATGTATGAATCACTTTACGGAGAAAATAGAAATTTATTACAGCTGAGAAAGTTTGTACAATTGAAAATGGGCTCGTGCGATAAGATGCTCGACTCTATGTATAAATTCTAGGCTCTTACCCGTGAAATTCTTTTTTATACGTATGATGCTCACATCGACAAGGCTTGCAGGCGAATCTCACCGAGATGATCCCTGGTCTCAACACGATGATATATTCCGGAGAACATAATTTTCAAAGAATTAGTTCTCGAACTACGTTGAGCTCTCTCTTTGTGGAGTGTCAATTTGTGGCGTATTATTATCGATGAGGGAAGAAATTTTCTCAGCTGCAGCTTCTGTTAAGGTTTGTAATTTCTTTTCAGTAGCTCTCGAGACTCGGAGTCGTTACTTCAAGCAGCGCGTGTACATTAAGGTGACCAACTCCTTAAGGCGGAGGGACATTTAAAACAATTTAATATTGATTGTCATAATTTTAATAAACATTTTTAAAATAATTGTTAACGAAACACATAAACAATATATTATTGTATTATATTTGTAAATAACTAACAACACTTGATGTATAACATCACATGAAATCACAACAAAAATTACGTCAAGTGTTACGAGATCACATTTTCTTTTTTAAAATTATACTTTTCTGTTGAATGTATTTTATAAATAATATATCTAGGTTTTTCGCGCGATAAAAAAATCATAAAATTTTTCATATTAGTTAAAAATTATATTTCACATTTATCACTTTCACTTATTACTTCATATTTATCACTTTCACACTTAAAAGAGGAACATTTTATAATCATATCTTTAATTTAGGACAAAATTTGAGACGCGTTGTAAAGTGGGACGAAGGATAAAAATTTGAGACTGTCCCTCCTAATTTGGGACGGTTGGTCACCAAGATGTACATTTATTTGCAATAGTGAGTGAATTACTATTGTCACGATATATGTATTAAATACACTGACGATAATAACATTAATGATAACAACTACAAAATGAATGTTGCCTTTTGTCACATTGGTAAACGAGCAAGATACTAATAAATTATGTGCGATTAATAATGTAATAATCTATTGTATTATAAGTACTAATACCGCGCGATCACGCATTATGTACAACGTCGTGGAGATTATTTCGTATGATTGTAAATGATATGTGTGTTGCGTTGATGTAACGCGTCCCTATATTGCAGTAGGGCTGTGAAATAAATCAACCAGACACTTCTCGCTAGTCTTGTCACTTGTCCCTGAAACACAGTCGCGTGGTAGGAGCAAAGTTTTATTAAATCGTGTCGTTTTCAGAGAAATGCATGCCTAAGGGACCACGATATTTTTTTATTCTTACCTTAACATAGTTTTACAGTTATATTAATCTATATATTCAAATATTATTCTATACGATTAACGCCATGTGCCTATATATTTTGATTGATATATAAATAAAAAACAGTATTTTGAATAAAATCTGATAGACACATGAATAAAGAAATTGTCTTGATAATGTCGAAGGTAATTCTTATTAGATCTGCATTTGGTCATTTCAAAATGTCGTTGGCGGTACGACGGAACTATTTTGTATTACTTTATGCAACACATTGGTATGTGTAGAAGATGCCAATTCAGTCATATTGACCGAAGTAGTACTTTTAGATGACGCGTAGTAGAACTGCAGCATAAGTTCCATTGCCAACAGTAGATGCATAATCAGAATTGTAGCACCATATAGAATCCTCCATTTACTCCCTGTAAAATCAATTACTAAATATTTATTTTGCTTGATATATTAATTTTACTTGCTAAATTAATTTGATTAAATTTCATGTATTTTCATGTATTTTCTATACAATTGGAAAATTTGCGTTATTAAACTTAACATAAGATAAATATGTTAAGCTTAACACAAATATAATGTAACAAGTTAACGCAAAAATATAACACTTTGTAAATAAATTGTGGAAGAATATTTCTTCAATAAAATTAAACTTATAATATGTTCAATTAACATTTTAATCATTTATCTTAAAATTTACGTTTTAAAATACATTATTTTATATTATTGGTCCATTCACTCGTAAATTGTGTTATTTTAACACTAAGAAATGTAAAATATCAATTTAACACAAAATATTCAAATAATACAATCATATTACGTTGTATTAACATTTTAGGATATTTTAGGTTAACTCTATGATATGCATAAAAATTTTAAGAATCGGTTTTGGCACACAAATGTTTTTTTATTGTATATATATTTTAAAGATAAATATGTATCTTACTTTCAAATGCTGGTAATAATGATCGTAGTAAAACTCCTCCAGATAAAACCGTCACCGGTATGACTAGACTCCATTGTAACCAGCCAATTTGAATTATCCACAGGAAAGCTACTGGAACAAAAATGCTTAAGGAATATCCATATAGACACAAAAGGTCTAAGAGTCCTGGGACGGGATAAGACTGAAAAAAAAAAAACAAAGAATTACAAGGGGAAATGAATACTATTCAATACTAGAGATTTAAAGCAATGAAAAATAGTTAATAGCAAACCTGGATTAATTCCTCTCCCGATGTATGATATTTGTTGAGCCACTTTAATGTACCCCATAGGAATAATGGTGCAAGCAACACATAGAGAGATATAATAGTGGCTGCGTATGTTACAATATGAAAATCATATCTCCAGTGATACTTGCTAGAATTAGCAGTCTGCAAATAGTTCACCACGTTTTCGCTAATCGCGATAGCAAACACCAGAGTCACGCTTATCCAGAAAGGCCCATATAAATCTGGATTTGGCTTTATGTGCGTTATAAAATAATTGTCGTTACCATGTGGTATCATGGAATGCATGAGCTTCTCCAAGACTTCGTTTGTGTTGACATTAAAGAACTTTTGGTAATACTTAATTGTCCAGAAGTTGTTCTGAGCAGTATCTAAAAAAAAAAACGACATATTCTCGTTTAAATCAATGATTGTCTATCGATACAAAATGAAATTGAGAAATTCTTCAAGAAGCTACATAAACCTTCGGTTTTAGCAGGCATTCCTTGTAAATCTTCTATCATGCCAATACCCATAGAGTCATTTGAAAGGTTATTAAAGGGCTGGTGAGTGGAAGCCCCAGAACCCAGCTGTCCCTCCGAGTTGTCAGCATGACTTATCGATGGGAAATCGTGGAAGGATATAAACTGCGAATCCGTGTCTTTTGATCGATCACCATCCATGATTCTTCTTCTATATTATGGCTCCTGCTTCCAGTAAAATGAATACAAGAGGACAACTACAACACAATCAACGATTCAATTGCAATGCTACTCTTTATCAGTGACTGCGTTCCACTTAATACTCGCAATGCTCGCGAGCATCTTTGGTCCTTAATATTTATAAACAACAAGGATAAAATGATTCCACGAGCGATGCGGGCGTTAAATGGAACGCACCTAGTGATGCACATTTGGCGACCCAGGGCAGAGCAATTCAGCAATCAGCTGAATCAACCTCTCCATTTTCCCCCACCGAGCGAAGTGAGCGAGACAGCGATAAGTCCATCCTTCTCTCATTCGTGACTTCATGAGCCATCAGCCTTCAGTGCACTGATTGTGAGTGAATAGCAAGAGAATTCTCTCGCTGTCTCGTTGCTCTCTCTTATTTCCAGTTTGACAGATGCTATTGAATGCTATGTATCAAAATCAAGCTTAGAACATCTATACCGGCTTTTTTTATATTTAACCTCCCGCGCAATAACGCTAACCATCAACGACATTGATGAGATACTAATATCGCTAATATATTATTAAAGACAGCCGGTCTTACGGAAGCTTGCGTAACTGTTAAAATTTAAGTGATTAAGAATAAAAAAAATTGATAATATAGTATTAATTTTATGATTTATTAGATTTGTAAACATATATATGTATGTTTAAAATTCAATAAAATACTCGATTTTTATTTAAAACTGTGATTTAATGTTATCGTTCGATAATCAATCGATCATATTCGATTGGTAAATAAAAAATTAGAAAGCAGTTCCTGGATTGGTCATCCACTGCGCACTGTGGCAACGTCGGCAACGTTATTTCATGTTCATGGAAGATAGAACGAGTATAATGTTGGTGACAGTTCGTTATTTTGTCATTAGAACAATTCAATTGGAATTCATTTCTTCACAATGATAATGTAATATTTTACAGCTGTTTAGCAGTGTGTGTTTAATGTAGGTAATAATCTTGAAAAAGAAAGAGTGAATAATTTCATAGTGAACCTTCTAATATAACAAATACATTATCGTATACGTACAATTTTTTCTTATATTATCATTTAAACAATTTCTGAATATAACATCATTATACTGCTTCATTATTCTATAATTATTAAAAATTTTTTTATAATGAAAATATTTAAAATCGATTTATTCTTTTATAGGTTAAGTGATGTATATCTGAGAAAAAAAGAAGATAATAGTAAAGATGTTTCATCGGCCCCATAATTTTATAAATTTTATTCGAAACGTAACATGCCGGTACCATACCGATCAATTGTGCATATTCCAAATTGGATTAGTTAGAAGACATGCCAGCATTTTAATAGTACCCAAGTATGGTATACAATATAAAGTACATACTTTTTCGAATTCTCAAAAAGTTTTTGCTAACAGAAAGGTAGGCAGGCACAGTGATTGCAAATGGACTTGCATGACAAGATTTCTATCTGATGATGCAAAGTTTAAAGATAAGCCTGAAATAAAACTAGCTGAGGAAGTTCAACAGAAAATAATAGAATTAAATGAAGAAAAGCTAGGTAAATTAAAAGAGAGAGTATTAGATATAGAACCAATTACTTCTGATGAGAAAAAGGAAGGACAGACAGCAAAACTTGTTGAAAAACAGTCTGCAGAATTCAAGGAATCATCAAAAGATGATGTTACCTCGAAAAAAGGTATAACAATATAGATAGAGTTAAGTTCAAAATATTAATCTTCTGATTTATAGCAAAAAAGAAAGTCAGAGTTGATAAGTCGACGTCTTCTTTGGAACGTAATTTTATTACACCTGTGAGGGCTATGGCAGATTTTCTATTAAAGCCTACTGATTTGGAAACCTTGCCAAAAACCAAAAGACGTTCTCCGTATGAACTTGAACCACCTATCACAGTCTATTGGAGGAAAGATGTCGAGGCTAAGTAAGAGAATCAATTTGATAAATTTCTATATACTTACTGAAAATTATTTAATTGAATGTTTTAAAGTTTCGCTTTTTTGTAGAGCTTTAGAAGTCTGGGGATCCAGAGAAGCTTTGTTAAAAGAACTTTTGAAGAAAGAAGTTGAACGGAAGATCTACCAGCAAAGTAAATATGTATATCTTCATACATGTACTTTTATCTGTTTACTTAATTCAAAGTACTTGTTACTATAAAAGAAAACATCTCATTAAGACAAAGAATCTGTGCTCAGAAATTGTCCATCTTACAGGATCATTTACATATTCTGTTAGTCTGATAGGAATATCCTGTAATAATAAAATAAAATTAATTGGTACAAACATTGAAACACAAGCTTTTCGTCATAGATGTTTTTACGGTCAAACGGAGATTGAGGGATTACAGACGGGAAATCGGGAATAAAACGGAAATAATTCAGAAGGAAGGTCTTTTTGGAAGATCTGGCAAAGTAGTGTTGACTGCAATTGCTATGTATGTACTACATTTATGCGTATCATGTAATTGTGTAAATTTTCTCGATTAATTTCTTCTTTTCTAGAAATGCTAGTAATTTTTTGTGCAAGTTAATTGCTTGGTTATACACTGGCTCGCACAGTATGTTTTCCGAGTGTGTACATTCTGCAGCAGATACTTGTAATCAATTGATTCTAGCATACGGCATTCATAAATCGGTGCAGGTAAATAAATAATGCGAATAATTTTATTCCAAGATTTTTTCCAAGTTTAATTTATTTTATACAAATTATTTTGCAGAATCCTAATCCTGATCACCCATATGGTTATACAAACATGAAGTACGTTTCCTCATTGATATCGGGTGTGGGAATCTTTTGTGTCGGTACGGGTCTTTCCCTCTATCATGGAATTCATGGACTGCTTTTTCCTGCGCCATTAGATACTCTCTTCTGGGCATATTTTGTTTTGGGTGGATCCTTGCTATCTGAAGGGGCGACTTTAATGATAGCATTACACTCTATAAAGAGAGGCGCAGAAGAAAAAAAGGAAAGTCTTAAACAGTTTGTTCTAGAAGGACAAGATCCGTCCGTGAACGTTGTGCTCATGGAAGACTTTGCAGCTGTAAGTCGTTATTCTTACTTTTTGTTAAATATATTAATTATGCATTCAAAAAGATTTTTGTGTAACTGTTAGGTACTTGGAGTCATTGTCGCAGCTGGATGTATGGGCTTGACCTCATATTTAGAAAATCCAATGTTTGACGCTATCGGTTCGCTTCTGGTTGGTGGTCTGCTCGGTGGAGTGGCGTCTTTTATAATCTACTCGAACGTTGCTGCACTTGTAGGAAGGAGTATATCGCAAGAGAATCTCGATAAAATTAACGCTGAACTAGAAGCAGATATAATGGTAATACTAATCTTAAAATCAAATATGTAATATATTCACTCGATATTTTAAATGTGTTGATTCTTACGTTTGTACACATTTCGCAGATTCGTGCGATTCATGATGTGAAAGGCATTGACATGGGTAATAATTTAGTGAGATATAAAGCCGAACTGGATTTTGATGGACGAGAACTTACAAGATCTTATCTAGATAAACATGATCTTATTGCAATGTTGGAGGTATAAATTTTTATATTCTTATTTTTACTATTCTTATTTTTATGAAAGATGAGATATCACATCAGATGAGATAAACATCAAATATTTTTGTAGGAAGTGAAAAGTATGCAAAATATCGATGAATTAGAGACATTTTTATTAAAACACGGCGAAAATATCGTAGACATGCTTGGTGGAGAAATTGATAGAATAGAATTAAAACTAAAGGTAAATATGTTTTATATAATAATATATAGTAATAACAATGTGGATATATAAATCTATAATAATTAAACATTTTTAATACAATTTTATTTTTTCGCGATTTTCAGAAAAGTCATCCAGAAATACGGCATTGTGATTTAGAAATTCTATGAAGACTTATTGATATAGTTTTTCTTAGCTTAAATCTAAATAAAACTGGATGTAAATTATTATTTTAACATAAGGAATTATTTTAATAGAGTCGGGTAGGTGCTCCTGTCATAGGATACAATCTGTGTTTTATTTAGTATTTAGTAGCACAGAGAGAAAATCAATTTTTGTAAAGATTTTATGTATGTTTTGTACATAATACAGATCTTGTAGAAGTTATATCATTAAGTATAATAAATCATACTTCTTAAGCATATATTGTTAAAAATGTCTTATGTATTTCTAAAATGTTGCAATTTATGTACACTCTTTAAATTTTAAGGGATCTCGCTCTAAAGAGTGAAAATCGAACCAGTCTTGAAAAAGAATGGCTCAATCATCAATCTTTAAGATTGAGATTTCACTCTTTCAGAGTAAGATTCACTCTTCAAATTTTAAAGAGCATGTATTCTGTTGTTTTACTTATATGTTCTCCATAAATGAGAATCTTTTTATTTATGAGCTATTTTTGTATGAAAAAATGGAATTTTTGCATTTTTGTTCTGTTTAAATCGTTTTTTGATCAATTTCCTGTTAAACAGATCGAATTTCATTAACACCATTCTCTTTTTTATTAAAAGACAAAGACCTTGACCACCTATTATTAAATTCTTCTACATATATTATTTATATAAAGTATTTTATGCTATAATAAAGAATGGGATACTTGATGTACTTCAGTATCCTGTTAAAAAGTAAAAAAAATATTATTCTGAGATTAAAATGCTAAAGTACAATGAGAATAAAAAATTATTTCACTTCTCAATTGATGAATAATTTTAGTTATTTTCCAATAAAAAAGGTTAAATAAGGTAAAAAGGCTAAATAGTTAAAATATGAATTCTTATTCTGAATATTTTACTTGACTCGCTTTGAACAATTTAAAAACTAAATATGCAAATGTATACTAAACTGGTCGCTACAGAGTTTAACATCACAACAAAGCGTTACTATAGATACAGGGTACCTTGTGATCCTAAACACAGACATATATAAGTCTGCGATGATACTGAACAACAGTCGACCCTATGATGGTCAACCGCGAAGTTAAACACCCTTGAGGGAAATTCTTATAATAGTCAATAGTTCCGTATTGTGCAGATACTTCAAAGTTTAAAAAAAAATTCGTATGGACTTGTGGACGTGTTTGAAATTAATTGCGAGATGGTCGCAAATCGACCGTAGGACAGCTGAACGATTGATGCTTCGATGCGTCTTAAAATGACACGCGGAACTCGAACCTCTCGAAGATCTACGGCGATCGGTAAACAATTCCAGCAGAATGATAGCGAGGATGAAGCTTCTGTTCGCACTGTGGAGAACGATAACTATGTGAAACACGGTAGCACGCTGTCACAGAAACGATGGACCAGCTCGGAAGAATCGAGACAAGAGTCGAACCGATCTTACGAACGAAAAATCAAAACAGTCAGTATTATTTATAGAGCAAAACTAAAAGTAATTTAAAAGCTGTTTAAAGCGTCTATAATAACGAACTGTGTGAATTATTTGTAATTTGATAATTGCGAATTACAAATTGCAACTATATTTCAGTCGTACATATTTGTACATAATTTGTATTCAATTAATATTTAAAAATGAATGAATAATTAATTCACTCTGGCAGTGTATATGCTATTTTATTCATCAGCAGCGCAACATTGTATTGATCTAATTAACAATTAATTTAATAAATTCTTGGCATTTTATTTGCGTCAATCATTTATTATTTACCAGGTTGAGAAACACCAGGTAATTATTTAAATTTAGGGCCGGTTGTTCCACCTTGATAAATTTTACCTGTTGGGTAAGTAACAAGATTACCCAATCACGTGCGTAGATTACCAGATTTACCTAACAGGTAGAATTTACCAAAAGGTCGAACAACCGAGTCTTAATCCTTAGTTACGGCACGGAGATATTAGGTACGGATATATCACGTGTAGTGGGTATAACTCCGTTATTGTCTCTAATTTTCGGTAAAGTGCACTGATTAAAGGAAATGCGTCAAATCTTTATTTTGGAGAATCTAAAGAAGAGTCCCGTATAAATGCTGAAAATTGTAAATTGTAAAATATATTTAATAACGAACGAAAGTGAATTTTTTTCGAACTATCACGAAAATTATGAAAAATAAAATTTTTGCAAAAAATTATGTTAATCGCACTTAATTTAGAAATAAAAATAAAGGAACTAAAGAAATGAACTATTAAAGGTGTATATTTTAATTAAAAACGCGTGTCAAAATATTCCCGTACAAGTATATTTATTTCAACAAGTGAAATAAAATTATACACGATTCTTTTTTTTTTTTTTTTTATAAAAATGGGCGATCGCTTTTTCACGCAACCTGATGAAACTAGGTAGGGAATTACCCAAGTTAAGAACGAATTTTTTTCTCCTACATTGTCTCTTCATTTTTCGGTTTCTAAAAATGCTGCTCAATTTTCAAACGTTCTAAATATACCATACCCTTGTACAGTAATTAAAGGTTAAAAAATTATAATTGAGCTTACTATTCAACATCTTAGAGTTTTCCTCGGAGACAAAATGACATTGAAGACACGGAGACCGAGTCACCGGATGCTATAAGCAATAATAAGTCACGCAAAGCCGAATTATACTCGACTCGTGCAGAAAAAATGCGTTATTCAGATATTCACGCGAGCGAAGAAAGAATCGCGTCGGGATCTCTTGAGAGGAAGAGGAAACGTAGTAAACGGACTGAAAGACGAAAGCTTGAAGCACGGCCTCGCACGGCAGAAGCCTTTCATGATCACGATCGTGCAGATATCAGGTTTTCTGCGAAACGCTACAGTGACAGGGAAGGTAGCGTCACTGATAAATCGCGAAGAAGAAAGAAACGTGTTTCCCGAGGTAAAAAAAGAATGTCCTTTAAGCGACATTCTTATTATAAGAATCAAGCTCAAAAAATTGATAAGAATCTATTCCAAGATCCTTTCCCATATTACAACCTATTTAAAATCTTTCGATTGATTAGTCGAGAATTTCAATTTTAAAGCAGTTGGGAAAGTTCAGTTGATGACTAAATGCTATTTTAAAGATCCGTTTACATTTACGAGGAACAAAAATAAAATCTATAAAGTGAATTTAATAATTTTTCACGCAAGAAGACGACGAGGTGCCCATCACCGAGATCTTGAAAAAAGCTCAAGAAAATGCGCGCACAAAATACGAAGAGCCTGTGCCGCTTCCGGAATTGACTACCGACACAATTTATATTCAAGGCAGAAGCGGCTTTAGCGCTGTGAAAATTGGCGGATCGAGACGTGCTTTGGGAAATGATACGACACGTGCAACAAAAGGTAGAGGAGGCTGCGATTCTGCAGGGACTCGAACCTATACGCTCATAAAGGTAGCAATCACTGCGCAGAAATTTTGGAAATGCACAGGGCTCGTCTATCAAGGTCTCTTGGGCGGTATGGCATTTCTGCATTTCATAATGGTAAACATTTTTTCTCAACTAAAGTATTCCTTAATTTGAACATAGATTTAGAAATGAAAAAAAAATGAATATTATCTGATTCATGATTGCAGATTCACGTCTTTTTTAACACTTCGATGGAATTCATATCAAATTACTCGATTTTCTCCGAAATATATGCAAATATATTCTCATTCTTAATCGCTCTTTGCATCATCTCCATCTTCGATAAGTATGTTCGACATTTAAAAAAGAAGATTTAATATAATTTAATGTTCGCCTTTAAGGCTCCTGTTCATTTACTAGCTCAAATTACATCATCAGAAGCGAGAAAATATGCAATAAAAATTCTTATATAAATAATATTTGAATAGAAATATTTTTCAAAAGAATATAAACCTTTGCAGTCGGTAGAACTTATAGACTTATAATATATTTTAACTAAACTGTTTTCTTGTTTCGGGGAGAAATTGAATATTTATTTTTATATACTATTAATTTGATAATTTATCATCGGCACGTAATTTATAAAAAAGTATATTTGCAAAAATTTACATATAAATATTATTAAGCAGATCTGCTTTAATCGAAAATAGAATTATATTTCACTTAATTCTCTTAATTTATTCTCGTCAGTTTAATTTCTAATTATAATTTTTATAGTGTATTTTCTCGCCTTTGACTTCATAATCTGAGCTAGTAACGATGAGTGAAAAACATTTTAAAAATATCGTTAATTTCATAGAAGATATTGATGGTTTTAGATTCGATCTAGCGCGGCTTGATACGGACCACTTGCGCGAGATTTACACAGATCACGCGAAAACCGCGATCGCCATTCCGCTTTATCTAATAACGTTTGGACTTCATCAAGCATCGTCAAAGATGGACGATCAGTTAGCTCTAATACATTATCAAAGCAACGAAACGTGGTCAAATGTAAGAATATAACGACGATTTAATAGCCTAACTACGAAGAGACGTGTTTAAGATTTTTTTTTACTTGCGCTTATGTACAACGATTTTTCAGAATACAACGCAGGAGACTTTTCTGGAGGAGCTGAACGACTGGCAGAAGGTAATGATATCGAAGGACCTTCTCGCGATTCTCGCTTGGCTATTCGTCGCTCTTGGAACGCGGGACAACATGCTATTGACGCACTTAGAATCGATGGTACAATACGCGAGTAACGCGGAATCCCCGAGATAACATTCGAAGAATGACTTTCACTGTCGAATGAAATAAATGCGTATGAAGTTCTTCCACGCGAATGCGCAGGCTGAATACTATAAAGTATTGAAGACAAGAATATTTTAGAGAATAATTATTCACTCTTCTTTACGTAAAAATACTCACCGATGCGTGTCGACTCGATCTTATCCAAACATAACAAATTACGTCGAAATGACGTTAAAATGAAACTGAAAAAGTGACTTTTAGTAATCATGGCATTTTCGTAATCATTTTAACATCATTTTGTTATAATGACTTGTATACTGTTTGGATAATCCAGGTACAAAGGATACGTTTATAAACACTTTCAGGAATCAATGCTCCAAAGGAGAGCAAATACGATTTAAACATTTATTTGTAACAGAATAGCGTTTGATATGTACAATATGTATAAAGTTCGCCTAGACACTAATCGATAATACATGTATACATAATAGCAAAGAGAGGACAATAATATTAAGGTTAAAACCCGCTAAACGGAAACTAACAGTAACGTTACATCAATATTATAATTTTCCTCTCAACAGTATTAGTGTAAAGTGATTCATATTTTGCAGATTGCATCAATATATTGGTCAGTATGTTAGATTTCCTTCTCTAGCAGGCATGCGTGGTCGAGCAATTACATTTATAAAATGTAATCGGTTGATCAATATGTTGATGTAACACTTAATACGTAACACTTACACTACTGAATAAGAAATTATAACATTGATGCAATATTTAGTTTATGTTCTGTTAGTCTGCGTTCAGCGGAGATAACATATGATGCAATGGTACAGTAGTAAAATATGTTTGGACTTTTTTGAGCGCGAGAACATCGGTGGAATCTGCAATTGCAAGATCGTGATCGTCGACGATCGGCCGTTGTGATAGTGAAATAAATTGCGTATCAAAATTCATACCGTGGGACACAATGGAGGGGGAGGAGAGGGGGGGGAGGAGGGCTATCGTCGATCGGCGGTAAAATTTCTGTAGCTTACAATTGTCGACTCGAGCGGCGCGCTCCCGCTTTTTTACGCGGACGAAAGCATTTATCCATAAATAATGTGCAAAGGCTTGTACTCATTTGCGAAGCAACGAATATATACATGCTGCTTGTGTGTGTGAAATTTGTTTACACGCTAAAGTCTCACCTTTCCCTCTTCTCCGCTGGTTCCTCTTTAATTAATTAACAATTTACACCGCCACGACGTTCGTTTCCTTCTTTCTTTTTTTCTATGTGTACTCTAAAATATCTCTGAGCTTAAAAATATCATGAAGGCACTGTTTACAGTTCTATCAAGTCGATTTTTGCCTTGTCTTCGCTGCACCGGATACAGATCGATCCGTCATCGTGTTTACGGCAGGTGGGTTCGTTCGATTGTACATATTTATTCATCGACGCAGTGCGTGCGAGCCAAGAGGAAAAAAAAAGAGAGATGTATGAACTAAACTCGATGACGTGCGATCCAACCGTAGGAAAATTGACATAACTCGATCAGATCTTTTTGTTATGCGGGAGAAGTCGGACATGGCCACGTGGCTACTCCCATAACGCGCAAGAAACTTTTTTGTCATGGCTCTGTACAATCGGTACTTGAATCGCGATTAAAAATTGTGCAAATTTGCAATGGCAGTATCGAGTCAGCGCCTTCGCGCGTGCAAAATTTCGTCGAGTTTATAAAATATTACGCTCGACGGGGAGATTGGACTTTGTGTACCAGATAGCCAAAATGCAATATATCATTAGTTGCCAGCAAATTCAGTCATGATTTTAGAGCAAATTCCTATCTATTGTATCCTCTTTAGTTTGGTTTCTGTCATTACGATTTGCCATAATGTAATAATGGAAATACAGCAGAAATGGAGCATACTTTACCATCATCATGATGTCGTAAATTTAGCAAACATGATAATACATGTATTACTTGTCGCTAGTTTGACACTAAAATAACGGCGACTAAGCTTGTTTGATGCAAGATCTTCTCGTTCGATACATTTCTACCGATATTAGGAAAATAATAAACTATCTCGGCCGTGTCGCTGGTGTTCTACTGCAATACACAGTTTGCAATACATTAATCTCTTGGCAAATTCGGCTATCTGGCTAATTAACGGCTCGTCAACGGGCTGACGATGCACTATAAAAAAGGATCCAGGCTCGTTTATTATTCGGGAGAAAATACCACAGAAAATATTCAAACACCACTGACAGCGAGAACTACAGTTTTTCGGCTAGTCGTGAGTCGCGCAACCAATCGGCTGCGCCGATCGCGAAAGGCCTTAGATACATACTCGAGATAATTATACTGGTCCTGCAAATGCGCCCACGCACGCATGTTTATTAAAAGTGTGTGTTCATATCTTTGTAATTTCTTGCGTGGGAACGCCGTTTGAAAAGGCACTAAAGCCGGATTTAAAACCTGTTGGCATTACTGCGAGCTCGTGAAAATTCTGAAACGATACAATAAAGACGGTACCATTGCGAAATAAACTCATTACGAGAAGGCACGAACAAAGCCGATCGATTTCAGAAGCAATCTTCGTGATACGTTTCAGTTCTTTTTTTTCTCCCATTTCTTTGTAATAGCACCGTCTTTGAAAGGATCTATTTAATATATCGTTGGTAATGCAGACGAGTCTTAAACCCAACTCCGTTGCACAAGTGTTCAACGATCAGAAGCACCTCTTGCCTTCGGATCCCGAGACGCCGGAACGATTTTTACAATTTATGCGTTTTTACCTTTGAACTTTCGCTTCCCTCTTTGATTGTCCGTAATCACGTAATTTGCGTAAAGTTCGCGGGAAGAGCGAGGCAACGATCGACGGAGACGGCGCCGTTTCTTTATCGTTACCTCTATTTTCACTTGTTGATACCTTTCTGAACGCGTTAGGGGGAGGGAGTGGCGAACGAGAGTCCGCGGTTGAGGATGATTCCCTTTCATCCGTACGATCCCGCGGCTGTAATCGCGCGTCCTCCTGCCCCTACTCCGACGATCAAACGGTCTCCGGATTGTTCTGCATGTATCTGCACCACGACTGGCCGTTGTTGTTGCCCTCGGGGCATTGAAGCAATTCTCAGTCGTCAAAGTCGTGCCTGAGCTTTATATAGAGGCAGGAGCCGAGAACGATGCCGAAGAGCTCGAGGACAGACAGACCGAGCCCGACAGCGCCAAGGATTATCAGGTGGTCCTTCGTCGTTTCCAGGAACTTGTAAATGCAGCCCTAAAATGACATACATTTATCGATACGCTTATCGTAGAAATTACATACTTCTGCTGGAGAAGATTATTTTTATTATTTACTCGCGTCGATATTTATTCTGAAAAATTACAGTCCTTGGCCATATTAGACGGATTCTACTTTCTATGATTTATTCAATTAAAGGGATCAAATTGACATTGTGATCTACTTATTGTTGTCGTAATTGAATAAGACCTGTTTTTTGTCGCTGCGCTAAACTACACTAAAATATGAATTGTTTTAATACAAGACATTTACTTAACACTTATAATATATCGGTGAAAAACTATAAACTTATTAACAGTTGCACAGGCGACAAGGAAGGTGTGTTTTCTGTTTTTTTTAATAAAAATTTTGTTCTATTTGTTTATTTGGCATAGTAAACCTTAATTTGAACATTACATAATATTATTATCCCTAAAAGAACGTCTTTAAAAAAGAAAAAAATGTATGCCAAGTGCATAAAAAAAGGTATTGAATATTACATTCCTTTTAGTAAAAAACGGATACGAAGTAAATGCAATTAACCAAGTATTTTATAACGCAAGATACATAAGATAGATTGAAAGTGACTAAAATGGTCAACAGGATCATAGTGAAAAAAAAAAACTTGGCGTACTCGAGTTGCATTAAAACGTAATATTCTATAGGACCAATATCTGTTTCCATAAAAGTTTTCCATAAAATTTTTGATGGATACAAGTAAAAATACAACTGTCTTTAACATTAATATTAACTTTAATATTAATAACAAAAGAGGAAGTTTACTTTTAGATATGTAAGGTAAAAATAGTCGTCATTTCACTTAAGATCTAAATCTATCAAAAATCCGTGCGTTCTAATATTATAATATAGTCAGGAACTGTAGGTCTCAAAGGACATAAGCCCGCAAATTTTCAATACACCTTTTGGCCTTTAATATCTTACAATAATATGTCATACACTTGTGGGGAAAGATTTACACTTTCTTTCTTTCTAAGGAAATAAATTGAATTCAAGTGCAGGCTAATGTCACATCTGATAATCAGTCAAGGAAAGCAGGAAAAGTTTAAAGTCGCAGCAGACGTACCGTGTACTGAATATTGGAGGGATGATCCCTTTTCCCGCAAAGTAACGTCGGCGTCTTGCAGCAGCTGTCAGGTACGACGTTGCCGTTCTTGAGGACCTCCTCATCCTTATGCCACTCGCTCACGAGCCAGTCCTCGAATCTCAAGGCACCGCAGCATTTGAACTGCAAATTTCAATAATAATGTCTCTCGCGATAATATTGGGAAGGCTGAAGAAGGTAGGCGAGTAGTTCCCGCGTCTCATGCATCCGTTATGTAAGTATATTTCTCTCAGCTGTCTTTATTAAAGAAATTTTTAATTACTCTGTGAAAAAGGAAAGAAAGTACTTGATAATTAAAAACTTTATGACTTTGAATTAAAATAAATTGAAAATTCATTAAAAAAAAATATATATATATATATAAAAATATGACGCTTTCGATCATGGGGGGCACGGTACGATACTTATAATAATAACTTCTTAATAATAAATAATTTTTTATAAATGATAATGTATGTACCAAAGGAAAAAGTGACAAGTTTTTAGCTGCATTAGAGTCCGTAGTTAATTGTAAAGACAGAGAAAGGCCCATGTTTCTTATTCTCCAGTTCCGTTTACGACGTGCGCGATATAAAGTATACGGGGATAAGGCTGAAAGGGGGAACGATGATAGCGGCGATTGCAACGATAATAGCCGCGTACGATAATAACGATAGCAGGACGCGTTATACGCCGGAGCATCGTGCAGTCATTGAGAAAGGAGGGTCAGAGGGAGCCAAGGGAGAATGGAGGGGAGTAGATTAATGGAGGTGAGAAACGTGTTCCGGCGGCGGCAGCAAGTTAAATGGTAACTTTAATGCGGGCACGTAATCCCGCGGGATTCATCGTGCGCCGGAACCATTAGTCGCGATAAACACTTCTACGGATCCTTTACACGTGCAGGCGTTACGGTCAACGAATTTCGCCTTCCTTCCTGAACACGCATAATTCGGCCGTCCCACCGTCGCGTCGTCCCTTACATTAGAAGACGTGCTAAGATTAATCTAGAGACTAGATACAGAAAAGCTACGCAGTGTACCTAATTTGAGTATTTATTTTTCATCATTCCTATAAGTGGTCATTGCCCCTACTCAATATGTCATTAATTTAATTAAAACAATAGAATTAAATAATTTAACTGAATATACTAATTTAACTGTTTAATTTAAATTTATTATTTACTAGGCGCATATGTTAATATAACCACCGTTTACTTTGAAATTACTAGCAACAAGTAATTCAACTATATATATGCAGGTTTAATTACTTAGTAATTTCAAAGTTATCAGCGGAAAATAGATTGATTAAATAGGTTTTTTTTCTTTAATCAAGTATTATGAATTAAAATAATACACACTTGGAAGATAAAAATAATAAAATGTTATTTAACTTAAAAAATTGGTTTAAATTTAATTCTTTAATATTGAACAGTGCATAAGACATTCTTCATCTATTAATAGCTTTTTAATTTTTTTTGTTTCGCAATAAAAATCTTAATATAATTTTTATAATATAAATAATAATCCTCCTATTTTTAAGTAAATTAGAAAAAATGAAAAATTAAAATTAAAAAAAATATTTGATGAACTTGCACAGGGGCGGCATTTGTTACAACTCTGACAACCGCGACCAATTATTTATTATTTTCTGAATGAGTTCTTCCAAAGGACTTACCAGAAAGGAAACCTTTTCTTCAGAAAAACACAAAATGCATTCGAACATGTAGACGTGTATTCGTTTACGTATATATCTCAGATGCGACTTTCGCGTTATAAAAAGTTATTGTGTAAAAATCGCGTGAAGAATGCACGAACTTTGTGCAAGTAAAAAAATGTGTCAAGTTCTCTCGTTTAACCCTCCGGAGCTGATAATAGATCTACAGAATCCAATTATATTCTTTATTACTTACATTTTGCAAATTTAAATTCTTGTTATTAAAATAAATTTAATATTCATACACACTGAGAAAAGTTTTTCGGTTGAAAATAATCGAGCCAAAAAATTCTGATCATATCAATCAGAATTCAATCAGACTTTTTTCAGTATACGCATTCTTTTTTGCACGAGTTATGTTATTTTGGTTCTTTAAAATGAATTTGTCTTTTAATTAACATAGATTAAAGACTAAGATTTCAGATTAAGCATCGGTAATAGCGATACAGATTTTGACGTCAGCACCAGTAGGTTCGTATCAATAAGAAAATCATTCGACTTCGTCCTCGACTGCGAGATAAAATCGAAATTAAAGAGAATGTATAATAGAAAGAACGTAGAGATAAATATATTTTTAGTGAATATTCCACGTGAGAGAGAGAGAGAGAGAGAGAGAGAGAGAGAGAGAGAGAGGAGATATATCAAAAAGATTTTCGTGCGCGTTCGTCACAGTACCGATGTATACGAGACATTTATTTCCGTTCGCGGAGTCGCCTTAAAAATTCCCGACGAGCGCTGTCGCGGTAAAACTCGATTTCCCGAACGGAATGAAATGCTTGTACACGTAGATCCTCTGTGTATAAATAAAATGCGAATCCTGAATTTCTCGCTTGCCCGACAGTTTCGCCAATTTCGGCAGACGAGAGGGGGTTTAACGTCGTCGTGCATTCCGCGTGAAGGAATGGAAACGGAAATCTCCTCGGGCGCGGCCAATGAGATCCGACAGAAGGGTGAAAATTGCGAGGCTCGATTTATCAGGGTAATGGGTATAGTGGGAACGACTTAGCTGCCGCGCCATTATCAGCGCCGTAAATCGCATCACGTGTGCGCTTACGAGTCTAATCCAAATCAAGATGCTGCAGTCGTTGCGGCGCAAAGAGGATCGAGATTACACGCACGCGATTAATGCTATACGCGATGGAAACG